ATCATCATCATCAAAAAAATATGAATTATCAATACCAATAATAATGATTGATCTTTTTTATAGTGACAGAGAATGAGATTCGGCGTGGCATCACTAACGCTAAGAGTCCAGCAACACATACCTTTTGGTTCAAGCGTGTCATTACTGACATCAACGAGCACATTTCAGATACCAAGGTAGGAAGCTTTGTGGACAAGACRTGGGGTACGCCTGGAGAGGTGGATCAAGAGGCTCAGACTTTATTGAATACCCTACGAGAAAAAGACCTTCCAAAAGCCATCCCCAGCAAGAACGTCATTCAGTACAATGTGAAGTGGAACAAGAATGGCATAGATACAGACGTTTCCTCGGAACATGCGCAGTACATTGAAAAGCTTTGTAGTGACTTCTATGACAAGCTAACAGAAATGATAAGCGATGGTATAGCCGAAAGCGAGACTGCAGACACTAGGGAACCGTTAGCTGAAGAAATCTTCCTGCATTTATCATTCTGCCAGAAAAAGTGCAAGGCCTTTTCTGGACGAAAGGATTTTCTGGAATCAATAAAAGACGGACTGCTGCACAATAGCAAGAGAACAATAGTGCTACATGGAGAATCAGGCTGTGGAAAAACCTCCTTAATGGCTAAAGTGGCAACTGATGTAAAGTCATGGTTTGAAGGCGAGTCCGTTCTAATGGTTTKCAGGTTCATTGGAACTTCTCCTGAATCCTCAAGCATACGACCTCTCCTGAGAAGCTTATGCCAGCAACTGTGCAAGATATCTGGTGAAACTGCAAATATTCCAGAGGTACAATATCGTGACTATATACTCTTGTATATACTTGTAACCTTACTGTGATGCTCTAATTGACCCCGATGAGTGAATCCAAATATTTCTTTAATATATGAAGCTATTATAAGCCGATACATTAACTTTGACTAGTGAAGACGACAAACACACAATTGTACATTGATAATTATCAAGTATATGCATATGAGGTAATGATCTAAATACAAGTTTCATTACTTATCTTCAGGATATCAAATCTCTAGTGGAATTTTTCCCCGAGTGTTTGGATAACGCCAGTCAGGACRTGAAGTTGGTACTTGTCCTTGATTCACTCGATCAGCTTTCCGTAGACGATAGCGGGCGCCTTCTTGATTGGTTACCACGTAACCTGCCTGATAATGTGTATGCTGTGTTGTCTACGCTACCAGGTGAACAGTACCAGTGTTTACCAAGTCTGAAGGTAAGAGTTGATTGGAGCCCCGCATTGCCTTTCAGTCATAAGTGTTCATTGAATTGAGTAATTTCCTTCCATTATGGTTTTCACCATTATAATACACTCAACAAAATTACTAAATTCTGATTGGACAAGAGGAGTACAATTAATTCYCAAATTGTACTCTGAAGAGTCCAAATTAAGTTGCTGAATTTTGTTGAGTGTATTAAAAACAAAAAATCACACAATCTTCTCTTAAATTCGAAATTTATAGATACTCGTGATCTTTTGAAAGTTTTCAAATAGACCCGTTTCGAATTCCAAATTACCGCTGTGTTTCTTGATTACAGACTCCTTTGCACAGGATTAGCTTCGACTTTGTGTAGAATATTCACGTGTTCCAGTCAAGGTCCGTCGAGTTTCAAAGTGCTTGTATTGTTGAAGTTGTGCATTCTTTACTTTACCGTTGGTATTCGTGAATATTTAAACACTGATACGAGGCTAACCCTGTGCAAATGAGTCTGTAATCAAATAACACAGCGGTAATTTGGAATTCGAAACTGGTCTATTGGACTCGCCTTTGACACGCCTATAAGGCTCGTCCAATTTTGGAAACTTTCAAAACTTCACTCGTACCTATAAATTCCGAATTGTATTCGAGATCGTGCGATTTCCTATACTTATATTCATTAATACCAACGGAAATAATAAAGTAAAGAATGCACAAATAATACGAACACYTTGAAATTCCACGAACCTCTACTGCAACACATGAATATTTAAAATATTTCCACGCTGTGCAACAGAGAACTCGAGGTATTTGTCTCGTTAATGAAATATAATGTTTGAGTTTAAACGATGTTCTGTTATTTTTGCTTGTTTTTCATAGTTGAAGCTTCCAAAGGAAAGTTTCATGGAAGTTCCACAGATCCCTTTAAATGAGGCTGATATCATACTGGACAACTGGCTCAAAGCCGCAAAAAGAGCTCTACAGCCCAAACAAAGACACGAAGTCATGATCAGTTTTCAGGAATGTCCCTTGCCATTATACCTAAGACTGGCTTTTGATGAATCACGCCGATGGAAGTCCTACACTCCATTTAACGARTGGGACCTTCCTCCTAACGTTAAAGATATCATCCTTGGATTRTTTGATCGAGTGGAGCGAATCCACGGAAAAGTTCTTGTTGGCCACGCCCTAGGTTACATCACGGCWTCAAAAAATGGYCTCACTGAAACTGAACTGGAAGATCTACTCTCTCTTGACGATGATGTCTTGAATGATGTCTACCAATACTGGACGCCGCCAATAAGACGAYTGCCACCGTTGYTATGGATCCGCATACGAAGYGACATMAAGGACTACTTGATCGACCGAGGCGCTGATGACACGAGAGTGATTTACTGGTATCATCGACAATTCATCGAAGTGGCACGCGAGAGATACCTTGTTGGAGAGCAAGCAAAGAAGATCCATGCCAACCTGAGCGAATACTTTCTTGGGACATGGGCTGAAGGAAAGAAAAAGCCGTATGTCAACAAAAAAGGAGAAAAGCATTCAGACGATAGGTTGGTCGCTAGCCAGCCCATGATGTTTGACACAAGTGACGAAAAGCCCATTTTCAACTTGAGAAAACTTAGTGAGCTACCATATCATCTCATTCGCTCCAACCAGCTTGGTTTACTGAAAGAAAAAGTGCTGTTCAAWTTTGGTTTTCTCTTGACGAAAATCCGAGCCAAATCGATAGACGTTGTTCTTGAAGACTTCGATGCYGCTCTTAATGCCTTCCCTGATGATGTAGAGCTTGACACTCTTGATAAAACGCTTCGTCTKTCTGCAGTTGCCTTGAGGACTGATCCTCGACAGCTTGCAACCCAACTCATTGGCCGTCTTCTCGAAAGSACCACGAATAGTGACGAATTTCCTAACATGATATCTCTAATCAAGGATGCATATACAAGTCCAGTACCTTGTCTCATACCAAGTCAAAAGTGTCTATCATCCCCAGGTGGAGCCCTAGTTGCATCTTTAGAAATAAGTGAAGATGCGCTACATTGCTGTGCGTTCAGCTGCGRTGGAAAGACMGCTTAYCTCGGTTCAACGACTTCTGACGGCCTTCAGATCCAGGCCTTCCAGCTTCAAAGCGGTAAGGTTCAACGAAAAATGAAATTGACAGACCCATTTGAAATGGCTTTTACTTGGTCAATGAAGGGTAGCGAAAAGAATWTACATTCTYTACTCATCATGGGCTCCAAGTACATCTTCTTGATAAACACACAAACTGGTACAATACTGCAGCAGTTTCATGCTCTGGAGGAAGAAACAAGATACGAACCAATGCCRCCAGTGAGCTTTGCAGACAACGAGGAACGCATTGTGGCTATAACAGACAAAGACCTAAAGATATGGACAGTTGCTGATGGCATGCTACGTCATTCTCTTKCTGTAGGCAAGATAAATACAGACGAGCAATATGGTTCCCTGGACGCTCACCAAAACTTGGCGGTTTTTTGTCTTCGAGAGAGTAAAGTGATCAAGMTCTTGGACGTTCGGACCGGCAAGTACGTTCGTGAAGTACAAGTTTTTGCACAAGATSAAGATTGTTTTGTTCACGAAGCCAAGATTGTCAGTAATGAGAAGTTACTAGCAGTGTCATCTTCTCTAAAATGCCTTCGCCTCTATGGCCTTCATGGAGGAACCCTTTCCAAAGAAATCAAGGAATTTTCCATTAATCCTGGACTTCATCGATTACAGCTGACTAAAGACCGCACAAAGGCTTTTAGCATCGTTCAGTATGAAGTTATGATTACTGACCTYGAATCTGGTGAGATAATTCAAACRYTGAAGAGCAAGTCGTTAGGRACACTYGTCATCCACACYGACCTCTTCACCAGGGATGGACGATTTGTGATATCTATTGCAAATGAYAACATTCTACGCATTTACGACATAAGACGGTCWATWGAAGARGACAWGACAGCCCAAAACATCAGTGCTTTGAAAAATGCCGCAGTGGCTTCGTCTGATACAGTGACTGGTCTGTTCCCAGGAGTTGATGGTCGTCACATCATTGCAACAGCAAACGTTCAAATGTCTTCCGMAATATCCGTGTGGGATTGCAAAAGTGGAGCCAAACTTCGAGCAATTAAATGTGGTATACCGTCAGTTCTTCCACAAGAGCTACGAATGTGCAGTCCTACGCGTGGTGTAGGCTTTATACACGATGTAAATTTATTACATTATAAGGTATTCGACTTCAAGCAAGGCAGGGTCGAGCGTTGCCTTCTAGGAAAAGCCTCAAAAAGAACAAAAGCATTTGGTTGTGTGGACGAGAATCATATCATTGCATTTTCCAGAGGAAGACGAAATTTGAAAGTTTGGAACATCAACACCGGCAAAGTGACTCAGCAGTACATCTTTGGACAGAAGCACCAGTTTGAAGAATTGCTTGTTAGCCAAAACGGTCGAATGGTAGTTTGCGCTCAGGTAAGCACTACTGTTGAACATTCTAAGGACAGGACGCTGCCTATTGTTGCCTTGGATACCAACACAGGTCAGCACAGGTTCTTGGAAATCCAGAAGAAGAGGCTATGTTTGACGTTTTCCGCTCTTTCAAGAGATGGCACGTATCTTGTTTGTCCTACTAATGATMTGAAGCCAAGGCTATGGAAYCTGAAGACGGGAGAACTACTGCACAAGCTGGAAGATAAGGAATACCCCATCGCTTATGCTACAGCTATTTCAGTTCCACTTSAGCTTGCTCTGACTGCACAAAGTGATGGTAATATTAATGCATGGAAGATCGAAAGTGGACGCATCTTGCACACGTTTACTTGTGARACGGTTGACATYATTTTGATATCTGAAGATGGYCACGTGGCGTACTCGCGATATAGATACAGRAACAGCAAYATCGATGCATGGGATCTAATAAATGGAACTAAGCTGGCCACTTTTACTTCAGATTGGAAACCCGAGAGAGTAGATRTAGTAGGAAATACCCTCGTTCTCGGAATGGCTGAAGCTCCCAAGGTTATGACGTTAAAACTACACTCACCGGAMGATTCTGGTCAAATAAGTGATGACAACGGACATGTTACCTCAATATTCCATGGGATCCCTGTGGATGGAAACATAAGYTCCTGCCCAGACTCCCCCTCTCTTGAAGATGGAGATAAAGATCTTGATGACGATGACGATAAAACAGATGTCCAAAAAACTGAGTTTACCCGAAAGGCATTGCTTGCTCGACCCAATGTGATTATCGCTGGCGGCAGCTTGGTAGATTCMAAAAATGTCTTCATATCTGAATCTGTATTCAAGCAAAACTTCCAGTAACCCTTAATATTAGTCCTAGTTAAAAAGTCCTAGACTACATCCCTTGACTATGACAAGGAGATTTACATACTGCATTTCTAACTTCATGCGTCTCAGCGTGTGATGAAATAGTCGCGGAGTACGGTTACTATTACTCATGCACGGAAATATTAGAATATTAGCATATTAGCACTAGAATACATATATAGAAAAAAGTAGAGTGGCGCTAGCTTAAGATGGTTTGTGTGTCAACTACGGGAGACGACATTAGTATCTCGGYGAAAGTAAGCAGAGCCAAGGGGATAAAAGCAGAGAGATGAGAGGAAGGAAAGGCTCTTTCTTCAGCTAGGGAAAGGGCGTGAAAAACCGTCTAAAAGAGCGGCCAAGTCAAACTCTTGAACTGTAAGAAAATTTAAGGTAGTTCCATTCAGGATAACCGCCACTGAGTAGCAACATTTTAAGTTTTTCTATATTTCATTAAGGCTAAGTGAGGCTAATTTAAAATTCATTTATACTTGTCACATATTTATTACACTATATATCTTATCAGGGACTGTGCAATACTTATCTGGGAGGGATGGGTGGGGGGTCTGAAATGAGCGGAATCTGATGCCTACAAARGTTAAAATAACTTCTTGCTCACTCGCTTGAAAACATTAGATTTATCAGAGTGTTACTCGGTCTCAAGCTTCAGATTTCAGATCTYCGACCAACAACGTTTTTTGAAATAGGCACGGCACCAATGTAAATGATATATCCATTAGATAGACAGAACCTGATCCCCTGGAGGGGGACAACAATCATTGACTTGATACTGTAACATTCCCATTCTGGGTTCGGCAAGGCAAAGACACGAGTACGACTTTATCTGTACTCGGGAAGCTTTATTGTTTGTCCGTGTTTACAACATTACAAGAATATCAGACCCATATTTACTAGTACAAAGCTATTTCTAGAAGGTGATTCCTGATTACGTGATTGGTTTTTACGTAGATCTTACGTGAGCCATTACTAACGCAATCGTGTACGTAACTAAGATCACTATCTAGGGAGCAGTGWGTCGTTGACAGATATATCAGACCTATAACTCGTTAGGGACGGACCATTAGATCTGATGGGAGGGTTGCGTAAATCTCCCTTTTGAGCCATCTTGACTTCATTGCAGCCACGAAAAGAAAATAACGAACCCTTGGCAGAATAGGATCAGTATGTAGTATGTGTACGCAAACGGGGGTAAGCAAGCCAAACTGTTGAGTGTTTTTTTGGCGTGGCCAAATTTACCCAATCCGTCTGTCCTGGTGCCCTTTTGACCAAAGCAAACACGARTATTACGTACCATTGAGGTAATGAGGTAATACGAGTTTGCCTCACTCAGCATTCACAGCATGCAGTTTCCGGGAYTGTRTTACAAAGCAATCTGATTGGTCGCTTTACCTTGACCTTGGGACACAGGAAACCTGCCCAGCCCTTAACTTTAACTGGGGGTGGTGCTTTTCCATTGGGAAGTTTTTGCTCATTCAACTATATAGATCTTATTACCATTGTGCTCTCTTAAAAAAAATGGCGGGCGAATAAGCTCTTATGTTTACAACACTACTGCTAGCAATTTCTCTATTCATGCGAAAGTAAAAGCACTAGGCAAATTATTGTTATTCCTGCCGTTATCCATAGTCTTATTCATAGTCTTAGAATATAACTTTAGACCAACACAGTACTACAGACAGCTACCTAGTAGAGCGAAAGGCAAAAGTGCAGTGACCTTTTGGAGCAAAATAAACATTTTGACAGTGAGCTGTCAACAAGCGAGCTCTGATTGGTCATTGCTTACGGAATTTTAAACGCTTGACAACTAGCTTTAGYTCCCAAAACCCACAAGGAACGCCTGGCTWCGCAGGCTAAACTAGCTTTTTAAAGATTGATTATGTAGTGTTTCCAATGGCATTTCCGAAATTATTTAAATGTCCCAGGCAATTTTTGTGTGTGTGTGCGCGTGTGCGTTTTTTGACGTATCTATGGTGATTCACCTCCGTAAATTTACATATGGTTCACTGTGGCGTTTAAGAGCATTTCCATGGAAAATGGCCAAACTGACCGCAACTATTGTGAAACCGGAAGTCGATTTTTGCGGCACACGTCCCCACCTTCAACATGTTTGGATAAAGTGTTAAGAGGTATTGTCACTACTTAGGCATCGTTTTAGGTCAAGTAACTAAGCCGGAAATCCTCCTTGGTAATGACGTACTGTATATTCCATCCAATGACTGCAGAGTCTTTACGGCCCCATGCGSCGCAATGCAGTCCAGATAATGACTTATAACCGTGCAAAGAATTAGATTTGTATATCAACTCAAGGACCGAGCAACTACTGAATTTGGCCAACAATCAAGAGAGTCCAGATGATTTCGAAAGTGTTCTTAGCGGCCTTTTTAGCCTTTTCATGTGCAGGGTCGTCTTTCGCTGCTCCTWCTACAGCTGCACCTCAGGGTAAGTACGAACAAGGTATCTTTCCTCAGCAAACATTTTAACCTTTGTCGTGTTCGTCTTGTTCAATCTTTCATGGCTAATTATTTATAGCAGAAAGCGTATTTGACCCTATGTCGGCTGCTGTTACCGTTTCCTTTTAACCATCAAGTTTTTATTCTCGATTTGCACTGAAACGACAAAAACCAACGAGAAATATTCAGTCACAAATGTAATAAGGCGTCTACTCAAATGATCGAAGTTTGAGTCAGTAATATAGTCATATTACTCAAGCTCATGACTTCTTCGCACACTTAGCTTGTTTCGGAGAGGTGGCTTCCTGCCTTCCTGCCTGGTTTGTTGTGTAGTGCACATAGGCAGTATATTTCATATGACTTTTAAAGTTCGTAGATTTTTTTAATGTCAAACTTTGCGAGATACTTATTGATCTCGGTTAGAACATTTTTTGCACGTCTTGTTACAGGGTCTCGCAGTAAAGGTTAACGAACTATATACCATTTTAAAGCTTATAAACCAGAGTATACGATAATATATGGTGTTTTTAACGTTTTTAACTTTGACGAATGCAGACTTTGAATGCTTTGTTTTGACAAAGTCTATTTTGATATTGTCTATTAACTATGGTTTTGGTGACAGGCAATTCCAAAGCTCCTCGGGTCATCATAAAAAGGTTAAACCAAAAGCCAACTGATTACATGGCTCATTTATAAAAAAAATTGTATTCATTATTGTTTTCTGTTGTTGTGAAATTTTGCTCTAAGTTTAAATCGATCTAAAACAGCATATTTCAGATAATTACAATGTTCGCAAAATGCTAGAAGAGTTTGAAACTTGATGATGAACCCCATCTAAACACCACGGGGCGTATCCCGCTGAGGGATGTCCTCTCATTAGCTGAGATGCTAGAGTAACAGAATTGAAGTAAATCATACTAAATTTATCTGATCTAAGTAATAGCTTATTATTACCATGTATTCTGTAATGCGTTAGGATATTGTGCTTTTCTAGTACATAGAAGAGAGAAGTCCCGTGTACCGACGGGTCGAATTTGTTTTTATAAGCATATGAAGTATAATATGACCGGATATATAGATCATTATCCTATTACTGTCTCATCTTTCAGAATGCGACACTCGCAAGACCCTGAACGGTGGATGTTGTGTTTTCCCCTTCACGTACCGCGGTGAAAAGTATTACGACTGTACCACTAAAAACTCCAACAACGAATGGTGCGCAACCACGTCTGACTACGATGTCGATAGTCAATGGGGAGAGTGTGGTAAGGACATGTGAAATCTCAGTCTTAATCTTTCTCACTGAGTTTCAGGCTCGTGTCTGTACTGAGGACTGCATGAGGGTGGGATTTTTAACATCTACTCTCAAGCGTTTTCAGTTTGAAAGTAATTGTTTTCTTCATTCTTTAGACAAACCGCCTGCGCCAATATTTGATGTGATTCTGGAAACCAATAAAAATGAATCGACGAGCCGCGGTAAGTACGTGTCCTTCTTCATTGACTTTCATGTGTGCAGCTCATATCCATCCCATCCATACTCCATGATGTGTTCAGGTTACCATTGGGTTAACATGAGTTGTCCCTGAAAATGATAACTTAGTAAAAACAATTTAGCCTCTACTCTAAAATKTTGAGAATAATGATTGGCTGGCGTGCATTTTTTCACGATTCAATTCGATGTATTATATTTATTACGGAGCCTGTGGTATGAGTATTAAGAATAGTGAGCGAATATATCTGTTTTTCATTGAATTTTTTACTTTATTTCTTCTTCCTTAAAATAATCGTTTAAGCTGTTTTTTAAAATATTTATTTGTTTATTTTTATTTAATTATTTGTAGCTTTTTTGGCGTCTGGAGTTGAGCTATTCCAAGGAGACATTGTCGTTGACAATGGCATTAGGAACTACCTGAATAGCCGTGGACTTACAACAGGAACAGGAAGGTCTAAAAGAGCTTTGATGAAAAACGAGAGAGGACGGTGGATAATTGGAGGAAAAGGCGTCGTACCGTACAGGATAGAGTCTTCAAACAGTAAGAACCAGTAATATTAACTGCTGCTGTGGGCCGAGAGGGAGATAGTCGGGTGACCACGGAAGGGAAGAAGAAAAGAAAACACGGCCGAAGCAGAACGGAGGAGAGAACTGATCTACRAAGAGTTTATAAAGACCCTAATGCATTGTCTTTAAGACGACTGTTGCATATGAAATAATTAAATATATGTTTGTTTTGATGTTTTTCTACAGGTCATGCAAGAGGAGTCATCGAACGTGCAATGAGACATTGGGAATCCAAAGTTCCTTGTTTGAGATTCATACCATGGAAAGGAAGAGGAGCGTACTTGTCGTTCTTCTCTGGAGGAGGGTAAGTATAATGCTAACTCTTTCTTTGGTAGTTAATATGATTCACCTGTCAATTTCGTATAGAAAAACGCGTGAAGGTATTGCCAATGTTACATATGATTCAATAGTGACGAAGGAACAAAATGAAAATTGTTGGGAAAAAGTTATTTATTTCGGGGCCGGTGTTTGTTACCGTGCTCGATCCTATTGTTTTCCATTGTATACCCATACGATTGTGGTTTAAGTGGAGATTACAAAGGATTTCAGACCAGTCGACATCTTCCTTCAATACCCACTTCTTGCCATAGCAACTGACTAAAATCGACCAAAATATGATCGTCTAATTTTTACGAAATGATTTTTTATATATCTATCTTATACACGATCTTTGAAAGTCGACAATAAATCAATTCATCAAACAATGGTTATTTATTGCGTATTTCATTCTTATTTAGATGTTATTCAATGGTTGGTCGTCAAAGAACCTCGGGAGCGCAGAAGATTTCCATTGGTCGAGGATGCGAGCATTTGGGGGTAGTTGCTCACGAAATTGGTAGGTTTTCTATACTTTATTGTGATGATATTCCTGTAATACACAGCTCTGCACTGTTACAGCTTTTTGATGTCTGACAGATATCAAAATAAACTTCTCCTTGCAGTGTATGCTCTAGAATCATGTCCCCCTCCTCTCAGTATTTCAATTGTACCTACCTCACCCCACCCTAGACAGGTATTAAAATTAACTCCTTGCAGTGCATTCTCTTGTAAAGCATATCCCCATCTATTCCACCCCACCTTAGGCAACAAGTGTCTAACTAGACTTTCATTGGTTAAAAATAGGACACGCTCTTGGATTCTGGCACGAGCAGTCAAGACCAGACAGAGATAGTTACGTCAGGATCAACTGGGCAAATATCCAACGAGGTAACATTATTACTATAAGCTTATATTTATACTTTTTACCTCAGTAAAACGTTTGTGACTGAGTCGGTATCCCCCTCAAAAACGGTTGCACAACGAAGAGGGGGTAGCTTTGTAATTTTTTATATATAGTGATATTTAAAGATCATTTGAATTGATTCAACGGCCGTCCCCTGGAATGACCATACGATTCTTCGCATTTGCTCTATATTGTTCTAAAAATCAATATGTGAGTTGAACGTTGTGTGCATAGAACATTGAATGAAGCGTAAGTGCGCGGTGTGAGCATAGTAAATGGAGCGGAATGKTTGGGAAACCCATTGTTCTATGTTTTTGTTCGACTTTATCCATTGTTATATGACTTTGATGGTGCACAGAAAAGGAAAAGTTGCTTCGTTTGTTCATAGTATTCGGGAATATTGAAGTTTTTAACTCTAAAAAACGTTCTAAAATATCTATTGTTTGTTAATTAATCCTATATGATTAATACAAATTGTTTATTTGAAAGGAAATTGCCCGGCATTTTTCATACTTTCTTATTTATCATCTAGTAACTTAGCTGTATCTGTGCGGAAATATTTATTCGCATGGTTTATGGTCATCGAACAAAAGTTTTCACTTTCAAAATGTTCATACATGAAAATAATAAGGAAATGAGTATTTTCAGCCATACTTGCTTTGGTTCATTGTGCAGGGTCAGTATACGTGATGGTACAGTTCAACATCAAACGCAAAACAATAGCTTTGTTCTATGGAGTTTCCAAACCATTCTGCTCCATTAACAATGGTGTGAGTGAAAGTGGGTTAAATTGGAAACCAGTCCTTAACGCTGTATTTCTATACATATTGTTGTTGATAGGAATGGCCTATAACTTCCACAAATACGACACGAACAAGATCAACAGCCGTGGCATATCCTATGATTACGACTCTATCATGCATTACTCATCCACTGCCTTCGCCACTAGACGTGGTGTGTACACTATCGTGGGTAAAAATGGCAGGAAAAACCTTGGTCAGCGCTACGGCCTGAGCGAAAAAGATGTGCAGCAAGCCAATCTACTGTACTGTGGGAGAGGCCCTAGACCACAAACACCTAGGCCACCACGTCCACCTACCCCTCCCCCACCAGGTAAGGCTTAATATACTTTCTTTCCCGTCGTGGCTCACCAGTTCATTTTGATCTGTGTCTTGAGACGAACGATTTTGGCTAAATCAATAATTTGAAGCTAAACTTGCTTAATTCTTTTGTTCTAAATATTTTGACAGCTTTTCGTCTAACARCAATTTAATTGCGACTTTGTTTTACAACATTCTTTACTATGATACCAAGGAGCGTTCAATTTCTCTTTTGTAATAATTCCCCTTTTTTTTCTCCTTTTGCCACTAGGATGTCCTTACACTGACCAAAAGTACTGGTGTCCATACTGGAAGAACCGCGGACTCTGTACATCAGGGTCAACTGTTCAATACATGCAACGCTACTGTCAAAAAAGCTGCAAGTGTAACCAAAGTAAGTCCACATTTTAGTGTACATTTGTGACTAACGTAATAGGCAATTCAAGATCATATTTTCCGGCTATCGGATTGCTTAATTTCACTTGATCATTACCGTGAGAAATGCAAAAATTTCAAATTTATTCTTTCTGGCTGACAGATAACACGCAGAAGCCAGTTTTTGACCATTTGGAGCAAAAAGTAAGATTCGGTTTATCTGCTTATTGAAATGTAGCACTAATTTTGAAAAGTAAGTGCTGTATCCACCGCCCGTATTCAAGTGCCGTGATGGGATTCCCTTTCGATTTTTTATTGGTTCGGTTTGGTAGCACTCATGGTAATGTGTGTCATTAGGATGRATTCTTGTAATGGTTATATTTTTTATTATTTCTTCAGCGAAAACCTGCATAGATAAAGATCGCAAGTGTCCTCGTTGGAAAAGACTGCGTTACTGTAATCATTATAAATACGGCTCTTACGTCAAGACCTACTGCCGAAAAAGCTGTAATCTTTGTTAATTATTAAAAAAATTTACTAAAGATTACTGAGAGTGAAAAAACTAAACTGTTGTTAACTAGGGTTGGAATTGACTAATCAATAAACTCATACGATATTGGTGAAGAAAATCGTTTATTTGTTTGTTTGTTTTTTCCTCAAAAATTAGTGATTCTAAGTATAATGACGAATGAATAGCACTTTGTACCGATACCGCGGCCATCTTTAATTTGGTCAATATTATGGAATGCCGAGGGGGCACTAATGGAAAATATATAGACTGCACAGGTGTCTTTTTATATAACTTTACGTTTTCAAAAGAAAGGCACATATATCTGGTAGTTCGAATCAAATTATTTAAAATTGACGTATACTTTATCATTTTTTTTTTTTTTACTTTTGCCCCATTGGTATACCAAAATTCAAGATGGCCACCGTATCAATAGATAAGTCTATCAGCATGAAAAGTGTACTGCTTTTGATAGTGCTGTGCATATGGAAATAGAATATATAATACTGAGCTTAGGCACATATATGCTCATAATTTATTATAAAATTAAGTTAGCTGCTAGTCATATTGTCATTTGCTACATCTAATAGCATTTTACTTTACAAACTTCATCAAACAGCATTTTTTACCTTACATTACATAATAAGAAATAACAATATATACGAAAATATGAAAACAAAATTCTATCAGTGACAAATCTATATGCAAATAATAATGACCATCATTTGACGGCAGCCATGACAAGAGGTACTACAATGGTCTCCCCCCCCCCCCCCCCCCCCCCCCCCCAGGCAAGAGTATCGCATACTTCTGACATCCTTGTGTCGTTTCAGAAATTATCCATAATCCTCCCCCCCCCCCCCCCCCCGAGAAACTGCTCATGTAATATAAATCATATTAGACGAGATTCAATGGTTCCTGCTTCAAGTCATGGTTGCTATCACGTGATGGTGCAAAGCCTCTACAATTTGTTCACATCAATACCCCACAATTGCTGTTTGCATGTTGTATTCTTTGCAAGTTACATCACTGAAGCCATGTTGGTGGTATTTAACAAAAGATTAGCTCCCATAATTTTGTTAATGCCACCAACATGGCTGCCATGTCTTTTGTCATTTCATTTGGCTTGCTGATAGTTGCAAACAATCAATGATACAATATTCATTAGCTTAAATTATCATTATTTAACATTTTTCCTCAATATTCAATTGGGCACTTTCTTCGAAGATTCGAAACTTTACAAAAATGCATAACTGGAATGCATAGCTTTGCATTCCAGCTAATATTGGTAGAATTACACTTTTCCAAAAAAATTTGTTTCTGTTACATCACAAAACGTTTAAACTTGGCTATAGTATTAATTTTGGGGTACTCTTTATGCCAATCCTTTTTCATCAGAGCTGGTTCGCACGATTTTGAGTACAATTCGGAATCTATAGGTACGGAGTGATGTTTAGAAAGCTTTCAATCTTGGATGAGCCATTAGGCAAGTTCAATTTGAGAACTTTCAAAACATCAMGASTATCTATAAATTCMGAATTGTATGAGAAGATTGTGTGATTTTCTGTTTATAATCCACTCAACAAAACTGAGCAACTTAGTTGGGACTCTACAGAGTACAATTATTTATACTCCTCTTGTCCAATCAGAATCAAGTAATTTTGCTTGAGTGTATTATAAATCATGTTGTACCACATGAGTAGAGCAAAGGGCCTGTGATCCTTATAAATCAACAAATGGAAACCATCCTTAAAAATTTGGGTTCATGTGAACAATAGCACCTCTATCTGTTTGTTGATGATTTGTCACTACRCCAGGCCCGTTGCTAGGGTGATTCAATGGTTTGAATGAAATCCCCCACCCCATCCATCTTTGTAGGGGTATGAAATAATGTTTAGCACTATTTTAATTTTTAAAGAAACGGGATAACTAAGATTGATAGAAAAATGAACTTCCCCTTTCAAGGTCCTAGCAACAGGGCTTGACACAGAGGTAATAACTTGGCATTTGCTAGAGCCAAACATATATGAAGCAAAAATAAACAAAGCTCTATGAACCAACAAAGTCAGGGAGTCAAAAAAATTTCAAACAGTCAATAAGATGCAGATACAGTATGGAGGCAACTTTGTTCACTGTTACCCAGCCAAGATTCTAGTTCTGGATTTTTTAAATGACATGCTTTAACTTGAATACCCATGCCCATTTACATGGCAGAAGGGATTCAGGAATATTTGGTAATTCAATAGCCATTCCACCTTGATAAGGGTGCCAAGGTAAGGAGCCATTGTATCCAAGAAGAGTGACACTGCTTTCAGCAGAGGTAACTGGTGCACCAAGCTTCAACACATTATTAGTTGGCCATGTAAGACTGATAGCGTACACTGAAAGTAACTCTGGCTTGTTTGTATACCTGAAGCAAACACAAAAATAAATAATTAAATAATATTAATACACTTTAAATAATTAATGAACCTTGAAAACAATACAATGTAATATTAAATCTATGAAAATAAGAGAAGGTGTCAAGTGCTAGTTGCTATCTTGGTGTGCTCACCAGATATTAGGATTATCTGTGTCATTCTGGACTCTCCATGGTTTGCTTTCATAGATTGCCTCACCATTCACAGCCAACCACTCTCCAATTTGAATCAAGCGTTCTTGGAAGATTGGTGCGATATGGCCATCTGATGCTGGGCCAACATTAAGGAGATAGTTTCCTCCACAGCTATTAAGTAATAAAATAGAATAGAATTAGACAATGATAAATTATAGAACCCTTAAAGTCTGTGAACATGGGAAATACAAAACTGCTCAAGAGACAAATGAAGTTTACTTTACCTCACAACCTTAGCCATTTCCCCAATAAGTTGAGCTGTTGTGCGTACATCAGCATAGTTCATATTTCGACGATAGCCCCAGGATGATTTATCAGCTGTTGTGGCATCTTCAAACTTGTGAGGCAGGAGTTTGCCTAAACAGTAAAAAAAATTTAATATTATGTTACTCTATTTACTCTATCCTTCAGCTATTTACTTTAGTCAAGCAAGTATTACCAGGGTTGAATCTGTCTTCACATGTGTAAACTCCTCCATGTGTACATCTACTATCATTTCCCCAGCGATCATTCACAACAATAGTATCCTTTACTGGGCTAAAAAACAATACATCAATACTGTGTTAAAATGGCACATGACTGTCAATTAATATTAATCATATTAAACATCTGAATTTACTTGAATGTTTTTGTAACACTGATTCTAAGTTGAGGATGAAAATCATTTATAAAAAATAAATGTATGAAAACATGAATCAACATAGAATGGCATTAGCTAAACACCCAAGTAAAACCATAAGAACAAAAAGATTTCACTGCAAAGATTGCATCATTTACTGATACCATGTACTCTACATGTACCATGTATCTAATGAAGGTTTTTTGACTACAAAAATGTAACAAAATTATAATACATGTAGCATGACAAGATTTCATGACAGATTAAAAACACATTACTCAGGGTCTGGAAGGGTATTTGCAGGAGCTGGGAAACATATAAAATATAGTGCAGGATCTGGGAAACTAGAAAAAAAGTGATTTGGGACATTTACTGTACATCAACCGTGACTCAGGAATTGCTGATTCAATGTCAGAGATGTGAGATTCTTTTTGTGATTCAGGATCTGGACCCCCCNCCCCCTCCCCCTCCTTCCTGACCCTCATTACATCTACATGTATTTATAAAGTAACTGTTATAAATCTCCTGTTCTGATTAGTTGGGAGCGCATGCTTTATGAGAGCACACAGCAGAAGTGCGCACTTTCAGTAGCGTCAAGAAGCACTCTGCTACACGTCATGCTTCTCCTAACACTTCTCTTGTGTTCTGCCAAGCAATGTGTGCTTAGTATAACTACACATATCATGCGCATATATTTTCTATTTCTTCAATACTATTTCATTAGTTAAAATGTAGATCAGAGAGCACTTCAGTTTCTTTTAAATTCATTACATTCATAATAAATTGGAGACATTATGATCTTTATCTGAGATGATAAAATAATTACCTTTCATTATAAAGCCATGCAAGAAAATCAGTACTCCTAAAGTAAGACGAAGAGGCTAACCAGTCGCCATCAGTCCAAAGATACTCTGGTTTGTAGTTATTGATGATATCATACAACTGGGGAAGCATGATTTCCTGTAGAGCAGAGGGGAAGGACGGCATGAGTCAGTCAATCAAATTATTGCCTTTTATATAATATATATGATTAAGTACATTGTACTACAGTATGTTGTGCACAGAGGGTTACCTAAGGAATATATAAGGACTACCATCTGCAGTGGTATTATAAAGTTACACTGTGTTTCTCATGGTAACAAGTCATGGTCACAAATCACAAGTCATGATTTAATGAACATTGTATTAAGATGATCATTGTATCAAGACAGACTTACATCCACATATTTCTGAGTGTGAAACGTATTCTTAGCATCTTCCAGGTAGTAAGGATGAAACCACTCAAAGAGGGAGAAGTACAGTCCAAAGGTAACATTTGTTCTGTTAYGTATAGCTTGAGCAAGTTCACCTTTAAAAAAAAAAAAACAAGATCAGGGTTACATCACAATGGTCATCATGATTCAAGGCCGAAAGGCTACAGTAGTTTTCCTTATCTGAACCAATTTTAGGATGGTAAATAACTAGCCCCCTCCCCCCACTAACTGTTTATTGTTTTGCAATTTTTGTTTTTTGGCAATACATTATCTTACGATACTGAACCGTTGTCAGATATAGAAAATACCTCTGCTTACGAGGCCAATCAGAACACGATTGCAGACACGGAGTTTGTATGTTTATGAAAATCACAGTAACTTCAGGTGCAACTCTAATCGAGGGTATACTAACCAACAAGATCACGATGTGGGCCAGTATCAACAGAGTTCCAATTCCATGATTCCTTTGATGGCCAGTTAGTAAACCCTTCATGATGCTTGCTGGTCAGAACATAATATCTGCAAAAATAAACAAGTTGAAGCCAATTCTAATTTTTTTAAGTTCTTCAAGGTTTCAACCAAGGATTGGCAGATAGAAGGGCTCACATGATCAAATAAACAAATGCGGGGTTTCAGGATGCACGTCAATTATTCATCAGAGCTTTAAACTTAATAACACGAAAGACATACTTCACTTTGAAAGTTGCTACAACGAAAGATATCAAAAGAAGTCGTCGTAGTTGAAGGCATAAATATTAAGAAGAGGTAGTCAAATACTCAAATAAAACAGCACTTTTGTTTTGGCCAGTAAAATGCTTATTGATCAAGAAATGAAATTGTTGTGCATTAAGTTATAAACTTAAGCTTACTTTGCTCCAGATTTTGCCAACAAGTCGGCCCATTCGTTCGGATTAAAGAACTCGGCATGGAACATCGGAGCAAAGTCAGCATACTTGAATCCTGGGGGATAGTTTTTCTTTAAAAATTCCACATAAGAGGGAACTCCTTCATGTAAAAACTGCCAGAACCACTCGGAACCGAAGGAAGGGACAGAGTAAACTCCCCAGTGCATAAAGATTCCAAATTTTCCCTTGTCATACCAGGATGGAATCGGACGTTTATCGAGGGAATCCCAATTTGGAGCATATTTCGTTGCTTTATAATCTTTGGCAATGGTTAGAGTCGTAGAAAGAGCAAGGAGGACAAAAAGGGAGAACAAAATTCCTTGAGCTCCTTCCATCTTGGACGTCTTTCGTTATGTAAATACGAGAACAATATACACATGTCACGAGTTTGACACGAGGCCTTCCTGGCAAAGCATGTCGGGACTCATCAAACCACAGGAAGCTCACAGTCAGAAATTCCTCACTGATGCCCAAAAAGAAAATAATTTTTTCTCCTGTTAGTCTAACAAACCTTGTTAGTAACAAACCTTGTTAGTAACAAACCTACTAGAGTGCATTCAGTCAAATTGTTGAATAGTTAGATAAATGTATCTAGCTTAGATAACTATCTAGTCGACGTCACCTAAAATAGTAAAAGCGCGCCAAATAGCGGTCATGCTAATCCGGGGGTTGTTTTACCAGAGAATGAGTGAATAGACATCCATTTGTATCATCGTTTCTCCCCCTGATCTCAGTAGCTGTTTACTCGTAGTTTCAAATTTAGGTGACGTCACCTAAAATAGTAATTAACTTATCTAATTTAGTTGACGTCACCTATTCAACAGTGAGAATAAAAGTACTCTAGTAACAAACCTACTAATATTACAGAATATTATTTCAGGAACAATTGTTTTCAATACACCTCGAGCATGATGACGTTTTGTTCCAGAATCCTTTTCGTTAGCTCTTTCTGTCATGCTAATTTTGTCTTAGTATTCTCAAATTCTCAATGTTTTAACATTTGAAATGAGATTTTGAAAAGGATTGTAGTAGATAAGCCCGTGAAACAAATAAAACGTCATTAGGGTTAGGGTCTGATTAAATTAGCCTTTAAAATGTATTTGCTGTAAATTTTATGCTTACAGAGAACGCTTATTTTGATTTTTGGAGATCTTAAAATCTTCTCTCAAAAGGAAGTTTCATTTTCGTACGCAAAGCCTTCTCAGCTTTTTAGTGTACGAGAATGGACAAAGTTTGTTTTAGAAGTTAGCGGGTTGGGCTTTTGAATAGAAAAAAATTAGGGTGGGGTAGGTGGGGATTATTATTAGTCTGCTCAGTCCCTCTGGTTGTAGACGACTAACCCAGCATTCCTCGCGATGGATGGTCTTGAAGGTAAGGAAGTCAGATATTAAGGTTACCTACTCCTTTATCATTCAATTTCTGACTTGTTTACTACGCTACTCRGACCAGTTAGAGCCTCCAAGGGTTCTAGCTTACTATCTCTCTGCTAGAGTTTTACAGCGAAAATCTATTGATGCCAAAAAAGTGAAAAACTCGCTTACACTGTAAAGGACTCATTTTGCTACTCTGTAAACTCATCTGAAGCTTACAATATGGTTATTTGCTCAAGTCTTTACAGTAATCTTTTTTCTTGAACTTCTAATAAGCGAAGAAGTAATCCTTATAATATTTTTCAACTCAGCCTAGGAACATAGAAGTTTGGATTTGACAGATAATTTACCATCATGTAAGTATGAAGTGTGCTCATCTGATTTTGAGAGGTATTTTCCAGTAAGCAGTAAAGCTAGATGTGTGTAGCTGGTGAATCATGTGGTGTGGTTGTGTCTTCTGTAARGGATATGTATATTTGATGCTCTTTTACAACTTAAACATAGTAGGAGTTTTTGAGAGGATTTTTTCTATTATCTAGCAAAGTAAGTATAGAAATAATTTATCATTTGTCACTAGCTGAAAGGAATTAAGAGATTATGAAGAGAGCACATCTCTTATACATAGGTCTCTRCCTATATCCTGATCAAACTCCCAACTTTGGGGCACATTTGAGCTATCGGATCCCCAACCCTTGCTGAATACCCCCCACCCTCCCCCACAGGACTTACATTGATAGGTGCATTATCAAAACTCCTTGTCAAACATAGCAGAATCAATCACACCAAAGCTGCAACAATTGGTTAAGGTTGCTCAATGGGGTTTTCTTGGCACACTATGTTACAACTTCCATCACAAATACATGAACGAAAACCAATTACTGTTTGTTAGAAACAATTTTTTTAGAAGTTTATTAATATATATATAATGATAATAATAATAATAATAATGATAATAGAATTCAAATAATGAGCAATGCCAGGTGTTGACAAGTCAAATAGACAAGTCAACAAAGTGCAGTAGTGTCAAGTCAGTTTTGTGATGCATTATAGAGGGCCACTAGTTTATTAGTTATTTTGTAACTATTCCGTGCTACCCTCTTTAAATAAAGAGTTGATTTATTATTTATTATTGTACTAAGATAAATTCTCCTGGAAAACTGGATTTTAATTTTTTCCATATTCCACAAAAGGAATAAAGCTGCAGCAGAAGTCCTCATCACAAGCTACTTTTACCAGCTCACTGATGGCTGTGGAACAAAAAACTGTAGAAATAAGAACTGTGCTTCAAATGGAAAACTCAAGCTTGACAAGAATGAAGCAGCTGCACTAGCCGTGAAATTGTGTCAGGAAAAAGCAGAGTTAGCATTATGTGATAATATCAAAACCAAGTTCAACATCAAGAAAGGTAATTTTTGACCATTTTTCAGTATACTTGTTCCAAAATGAATGGATCTATTAGTAGGATTCACCACAGTTGGTGCTTATCTATATATTTCATAACAACCAAAATGGGTTATTGCTAGTCCATCACATGTTTATGTCACCTTGATAGTATCCATTTGCATGCCTGGATTGTTAGAGGCAGTTTAAGTGTCTTACCTAAGAACACAATACAAGCACACCTCATCCAGCATACTAGCCATCAGCCTTACCATGAAATGACAGTATATTTAATATTCAAGTGCATTCTATACCGAAAAATGTTTTCCAATTCGATAAATAATTTAGTGAGTTTTCTGGTGTGAATTCTGAACTTTGGTAATATTTGAAACTAATCATGACAACACGTCTGGAAGAGACAGGAGGACTGTTGACATCATCACTAATGCCATTTATTGGTTGTTCATTGTAGAGCCCTATTTGACAGAGTCATTACTACTTTCAAAGATAGAATCCTGTAAGAAGACAAACAGTTACAAGGAACTTGTCCACATTATTGGCAAAGTGTTTTCTGATTCCAAGTTATTAAACAAAAGTTTCCTGCTTGAGAAGCCAAAGGCACTGGAGGGAGCAACTCTCTTTGTTGATGTTGATGCAGTTAGAAGAATCTACAAAGAACTGTTTGTACTTGAGGACCCTTCAGTGGAAAACGCTCTGCTGAATTCACTGGTAACATTGTCATCAAACATTGAAATTCAAATAAACTTTCACAAGCATGACATTGTGCTAGAAGATCCCAACTTCTTAAATCAGATAATAGTTGTCATGGAAAACACAATGCTACAAAGCCCAGAGTATCTTGATAGCGCTCTGCCTAGCTTTTTGAAATCTCTCACTCTCTTACCTGCAAATTTGCAAGCTCAGCTTGTCAGGATTTGGTGTACCTATGAAGTAGATGACATTCGTCGCATGGTGGAAACTTTGCAACAATTAATCACTTATCAAGTCCTAACAGGGCCTTCAGCTGTCAATCATATTCCAGTTCATGAAGACATTGCAATAGTCAATAGTACCAAGGTTATGAAGTTATTTTACCTTGTTAGTATAATAGCAGGAGAAAAAAGAAATCCAAGTAAAGTAACCTTGCAAAACGATTCCCAACCTATCTCAACAGCTATCAAAACTTTCCAAGATGAAATTTACAAAGTGCTTGAGTTACGCTCACTAGATTGCCGTCAGCCAATTTTAAATTATGATGAATTTGTTAATGAACCACTGAACGATCACATAGAAGTAGACCGGGACTTCACCTACTTTAAGGGTGATCCACAAAAGTTTTCATTTCTTAGCCACTTTTTTGTACTTAGCACAGCAACCAAAGGATTGGCACTCTTTTATGATAAYCGTGTGCGGATGTTTAGTGAGAGGAGATTGACTATGTTATACAGCCTTGTGCATGGACATCACCAAACGCCTTATCTTCGTCTTAAAGTTAAAAGAGAGAGTCTGATTGATGATGCCCTTGTCAGGGTAAGTGGATACATACACACCGTAACAACTATAGTAATTGCATATTTACCTTCCTATCAGGGGAAAGAAATGGAGTAGAACAACAAAGGGCTCCTTTGAGGTGTTATGATAAGAAAAATGACAGTTTTCTCTTAAGAAGACATTGTTGGGGCCCTTTCACGAGTTTGAAAAATGTTATTTTCATAATTTTGGTAAAACTTTTGCCAGATTTTGATTGTTAAGCTCAAAATTTTGAAAAAAAATGAAATCATGACTAGATATAGACCAGAAATCTTCCATCGCTAGATTATACTGTCATCTCCTAGATACCACAATCACCTGGGTGCTTTGATAGGAAAAAGAAGTTTAACAAATTGAGAAATACTATAACGATTTGAGAGTGCTTTTAAAATGAGTTCTTATTTATGCAAAATTTATACTTTATACRAAAGAAGGGATCTCAAAATTGTTCTTGAAGTTGAATGGTACATGTATAAACTAGTTGATCGTGGTGCAATGTTTTCCCACATGTAACAGACCGTGTGTCATTCCCTAGATTATCCTTACTTTGCTTCTTTGTTTAACGATTGCACATGAGAAGACACATGAATATGGGGGTTACAACTCAAACAGATAATCTTCTTTTTTATGGAAAGACATGGTGTGTGATTGGAAAACATTGCACCATAACAAATTGCTGTAGGTCTTTATCATTTCTGTTGTTTTTATTTCAGCTGGAGATGGTTGCCCAAGATCAACCCATAGATCTTAAGAAGCAGCTGGTGGTTGAATTTGAAGGAGAGCAGGGTATTGACGAGGGAGGGGTCTCTAAGGAATTCTTCCAGTTGGTCGTCGAACAGATTTTCAATCCTGATTATGGTAAAGTCTTTTTGAAGGTTTTGTTATGTTGTTAAATCCACCTCACGCCAGCCACTTATTCCCCGTATACATTATACATACTGTAACATCTCATTGAAAGGCAATATGAAAAAGAACTAAATAATTGAACTACCGTATTTACTCAAATAGACACTGCACAGCGTTTATTTAATTTCTCTTAATCTAGCTGTAGCATTTATTCGGGGGCAGTGTTTATTCAAAAATTACTTTATTCAACAAGATTTTGTAATAGCAAAGTTAAGGACATACGATAACCTTTTTAACAGGTAACAGTAGCAAATCTAACAAAAATTTCATTCATAGTCTTATTTTGTCTGTTCTTTCTACAGTAACTTTGAGCTTAAAAATGTTGTTTCAAATGAAAATAATTTCCATTGCTGGTTTAAACTTGAAATATACTTGTTCTTTATTATATATCATAAATTATTATTTCCTCAAATAAAGCCACACCATAGATGCAGCGTCTTTTCGGGGGCAGCATCTATTACTATTTTTAGTCCCAAGTGTGACGTTTCTTTGAGGGCGGCGTTTATTCGAGTAAATAGGGTAATTCATATTGAATCTAATTGGTTATTGTTGATGGTCGTAGGGATGTTCACTTATGATCCCAACACAAGGTTTTGTTGGTTTAATCCAACCTCATTTGAAAGTGCTGCCCAGTTCCGTCTCATTGGTCTAGTGGTTGGTTTGGCCATTTACAATAATATAATCCTGGACATACACTTTCCTATGGTGGTTTATACAAAACTGTTTGACAAGCCAGGTACCTTTGATGACCTCAAGGATTCCCATCCTGTAAGTACATCAACTCTAATGGGATTTCTGGATTGAGAAAAAAATGCATTACTGAACCCTTGTTGCAAGAATGTGATTCACAATAAGTTGAGGCCGTTTTTATTTTCAATGCAGGTATTGTATAGAAGTTTGAAGTCAATGCTTGAACATGAGGGCAATGTTGAGGATGACATTGGGTGTACTTTCAAAATTGGCTATACTGATGTCTTTGGCTCAAACTTGTCTCATGACCTTAAAGAGAATGGTGGAGATATTGCCGTAACCAATGAAAACAAAAAGGTAACTTACATAAATCCAGTGTATACAACTTTGATTTTGTAGCTGTAATGTTGGGAAACAGTAAACAATCTGCACTGTACTGTAATGGTCGGTAAGTGGTTGGTAAGCTGGTTGGCTCATAATGTTGGTTGGATTTAGCTTATAGACATTTTGATTTTGTTGTTAGAGTGAAGCATCTGACAATAGTTTCTTATCATATTTTCTTGGAATCTCACATMATTATCTATAAGCAGCAAGCCACATCACTTTTTCTTGTTTTACAGGAATACATAACTTTGTATGCAGACTTCATTTTGAACAAGTCAGTGGAAAAACAGGTAAAAGTGAACAATATAATTTAGTTGTGTTACAACAGGAGAAGTTCTAATCTTAATTTTTCTCTCCCTTTTACAATGTAGTTTAAGGAATTTAAATCTGGTTTTGAGTTGGTCGTTGGTGATTCTCCACTGAAGGCTTTTTTCAGGCCTGACGAGGTTGAGCTTTTGGTTTGTGGTAGCAAAGTAAGTATTTTTTTTCATATGCTACTTCATGCAATGCTGGCCTGTTGGGATTAGCAGCATTGGCTGTTAGGAAGGGCTTGCGTCACTCTGACACGTGGGAGTGGTTCCTAAACCATAGCAGAGTTGCTTGTTGGTTCTCTTCTGTTTAGTCTTGTCCTGTTTTCTTCCCTACACAAAATGAAAAGCTTCCGAATTTCATTAGGATTTTGTTTTAAAGAACCTGTAGAATCACTGCTAGATGTTATATGGCCCTTTATTCCTTTCAAGATAAATAAACACATTGGGTAACATTCATGGATCCATGTCTATGGATCTAAGGAGGTTTCTTGTTGACTTCCAGGAACTGGACTTTGATGCACTTGAGAATTCTACAGAATATGATGGTGGATTGAGCAAAGATTCAGAGTTGATCAAGTAAGTCTTTTTTACAGCATCAGTTGTAGGGCGAAGATAAAGGAATTTGTTGGGAATATTGGATGCTTCTTTATTAATTATCAACTTGCAAATCCTCACTGATTTAAAAAATGTGATATTATGCAATTAGTAGAAAATACGCAGGTGATTATAGRAAATCTCACGCACTGATTGGTCAAGAAACTCACACTATCACACAATAATCACCTCGAGCGAAAATCCAAAATGGCGGCCAGCCGCTTTGTTGCTGTTACCGGAAAAGGTGCCTTTTATCTTCTTCTTTTTTTTCCTTTCTTTTTTTTAAAAGAATCACCTGTGTATTTATTCTAAAACAATTATTTGCCTCAGGCTCAGTGATTATTGGGGAATATTTACCTCGCCGCTTGAAGACTCGTGTCTCGGGAAAATATTCCCCRATAATCACTTCGCCTTTGGCGAATAATTGTTAATTAAAAAACTTTAATAAATAAAGATAAAATATTATGTGTCATGTACAATATTATGTGTCTGTACGATAATTTGCTATATTTTAACCCAGGATGTTTGTTGGTTCTCTCTTGTGCTTCAAAGTTTTTTCTGGGTTCTCCAGTCTTTCTTTCCTCCTCAAAAATCAACTCCTAAATTCTAATGAAATCTATCTGCTCCCTTATCAACTGGGTTGTAAAACCTAATAGGCTTTCTGCCGTCCACCCTGGAGTAGTGAATCTGATTTAGATTTTTAAAGACTCTTTTCCCTGCTTGTCACCACTATTCACTTGTTGGCTGGTTTGTTCTATTCAGTTGTGCAACGCTTTCTATAATCTATTTTCACATTTAGGTGGTTCTGGGAAGTAGTGCACAGTTTCGAAATGGAACAGAAGCGACAGCTGCTGATGTTTACCACCGGTAGTGACAGGATTCCTGTAGGAGGATTGTCAAAACTGAAGCTCATCATCGCTAAGAATGGACCCGATTCAACCAGGTAAGATGATATATGAGCAACTGTTTTCCAGAAGATTGAGAGCAATGGTATACTGCCAGTGCTTGGCTTTTTTTGAAGCCATTTCCATGGAGGTAAGGTAATCCTAGGGCTAACGTTTTTGGTGGAAAGAAAGCAGGAGATGTGTGCTTACCACTATGTAGTAGTCTACCAGGTACTCTCCTTCTTGCCCTTTCTAGCCCTTCATTTACTGGTGACTCTACTGCTAGGGCTAACGCTTTCGTTTTTGGTGGTGGTGGTGGTGGGGGGAGGGGGGGGGGGAGGGGGTATTGTCCCTACTGGTAACAGGTAAGCAGTCTAACTATATTCGTACATTTCCTGGTTTATTTCAGGTTACCAACGGCTCACACGTGCTTCAACGTTCTTCTGCTTCCGGAGTATAGCAGCAAGGAGAAGCTCAAAGAACGCTTGCTTAAGGCTGTAARCAACGCCAAAGGGTTTGGGTTACTCTAGAAAGATAATTGTGATAATAGGGATCCAATTTTAGCAAGAAAGGAATGTGATCTTCAGGATTCTATRTCCTAACAATTTTATTTAGTTACCGTCAAATTAAAAAGGGAGTGACAATGGTCGATTTGAAAAACATCAAAAAAATAATATACGATGGTCCTAAAAGAAATATAAACTTATGAAATGACTACATCAGCCCAAGTTCTTYCTAATCTAGTGTTAACTTCAAAAACATTGCAACGTTTCAAGAGTCTCTAAGAGAAACGAGGGTGAGTCATTTCAGTTCTGTAAGAATAAAAACGAAATGAAGCTGCAGTCTATGCTTAGAACAGTCTGTAGTTTGTCGAAGTACAGTTCTTACAGCTACAAAGATTGGGCTCGCTGTGGTGGCTATTGACAAAGCATACCCATGTTATTTGCCTATACCTTTTGCCTTTGTAGTTAGCTTGAATCTACGGATGATATTTTACTGACAAAAGCTTGCTATGTCAAACAAATATTTCAAACCCTATTACAGCCTATAGGGGTTGTTTTCCAGTTACTGAAAAGTGTTTCCATTACCAAGGCATTAACAACCTATTCAACTTTGCATGGTTTATGGTTGCCATGGTTACCAGTTTATACTCATTAGCATAATGACGTGACTTAGACAACACAGGCCAAAACGTCTGGGTTTTTGGGTTGCGATGGTCTAAGTTAGTTTATTTTTTGATCGACATAAGCCAAAAACCCAGACTTGGGCTGTTTTGGTCGCGTAACTGTCAAAGTGGGAGTAATGTGTTTCAAGTTTGTTTAAGTGTAAACTTGGTTTTTAGGTATTTTTTTTAGAATTTACTGATAGAATAGAGACTTATTGGTAGATTTCCTTTTCATCCATCCTCATTTTCCAGTCATGTCCAAAATTCTAGTATTTTGGTTCTTGTTGGCGTTTAAACTACTTTCTCTGCCGGGCCATTACAAGCCAGATTTTGGAGGCGTTAGGACCGTGGCGAATAGTCCTGGCCGATCAGTTTTGAAGATGACTAGACGATGTTATATCCACCACCGGGTGACCCCTTTGCACTCAATACCATCCAAAACTGCTGAGGACTTTAGGTCAATGCAGTTGGTTTTTGCACTTTAGCCTCAAGGATTCCATTGCTTATCAGATGTTTTAAAATGACTTTGGATAAAAAGGAAATCTGCACTTGATGATCAATAAAAAATGTAGCGAAACATATAGCGTGTTTACTAACCGTGTACTTTCAAGTGTTAGCCAAGTAAGCAATAATAATCTAAGAGTTGTTTCCCAATAACTGTTTGATCATTTATCTTGGGGTGGATGAGGACTCGAGCAGCGTGGGTGTCAACGTCCTCAGATTCACTTCCTCCCTGTCATRAGAGGGTGCCAGTGGGGGTACTCCCAATTGTAAGTTAACTAATAATTTTTCCGCCGAATGTCAGTTAACTGTTACTAATTTCGCGAGCACTGGCCATAATATTAACCAAAATAATGGAATATCAGTTAACTGTTAACTACTAATTTTAGCTTATTTGTCAGTTAACTTAAACCCTATTGGCACCCTCATAAGGTAGATCCTGACGGACTTGGAGGGGCTAGAAAGTCGTCGCTTACAGCCATGTCTGTCCTTGTCTGTCGCTATTTTGATTTTTAGCGAGGTTACACGAACTATACAAAGTAATCAAATCATTTTTTATTTTTATTTTTCACGTGTAAAACACTCATCGGCAGGACATGTATACGACAGATATATGACATGACAGAGAAGTATAATGGGGCCCCTGTGAACACTCACCTACCCTATGTACAATGCTTCAAATATACGAGAATAGCATTTCCTAAGAACGTAAGATCCTTTTTCCGAGGCCCTACTTGGACCTTCGATACCTCTCATTATGATGCTGGCAAAAAATGATTTYCCCCCTTTTTTTCTGAATACAAAACTGTTCTACTTGCTTGTGTGCACTTTCATTCTAATAAGTTATGTTTGGAGCCAAAGAATATTTTCTTGGTTTAGAGCCAAAGAATGAACGAAATAGTAATGATTATGCCACCACAGACGGATGGTACCGTAGTAACTCTACGTTTTGCTGAATAAAACTCCACGCGAATGATTCGCATGGTATTGGGAAAGAAAACGTACATCGATTTTTTTTCCAGTTAGTTTGGTATCGCTTGTGCCAATATTTACCGTGGTTTATCCTGCTGGGGCTATTAACACTTTTAGTTATATTTGCCTTCATCATTAGAGTTTGCATTAATGGCCTCACATAAGACTGTTCTTTGCTAAACTAAACACATGCTAAGCCACTCAAACTTAAAATGGGATGAATATCATCCAATCGCAGCACGGGAAATTATATTTCAAAGGGTGTCTCTAGACGAGCTGTTAACGACAAAGCCTTCTAGATGGAACACATTTGATCAATGTTTTGTTTGCTTTTGAATAGATGGACAATAACTAGGCTTAACACTGAAGATTCA